GCGTTGAGTCGATGCCCCCCGGGAGCAGGCCCTGCGCTCCCCTGGGGCGGCTCCTCGGGGCTGGCAGGCGGTGAAACGATGCTGATGAACGAGGAGTCTGTAGGGAGCTGTCTCAGCACCCAACCATCCCTGCAGCGACCTGTTTGAGCCGAACCTCACTCGCTCCTTTGCGTTCAGTTCATTGCCAATCTCTGTTACTGGGAGAGCCCTCGTCTCTCGGGCTGGTCTGTGTGGTGAACCCAGGCTGGGGAGGGTGGCAGGAGCGCAGCTGGGAGCCCCAGATTGCTGGAAGGGGTGATTGCACCGCAGGTGAGCGTATGTGTTGCAGTCCTGCTAGCTCACAAATAATGCTGGGGAGATTAACTGGGATGGGCTTCAAGGTGCTTGCATAAGATCCTGGATATCACGAAACTATCCCAACTGTCCCAACGTCCTTTCCTTGTTGCTTATATCCAGCACTAAAACTAACGGATTTGCCTGCTCTGGGTTGCAATCCCCCTCTCCTGCTGCCGGATAAAGAAGGGTCTTACGCCACCTGAGGGACAGAAACCCCATATTGACCAAAAGCTTCCCCATCCTTGTGCTCTTCCAAGCATGTCCTAGGAATGAGCTGAGGCTCCTGTTGTGTCCTTTCCTCTTATCCCTGTGCTTAATGGTGATTTGAGAAGGAGAAATGTGATGTAATGTGGGTGAAGACAGTGTGCCTCTTCAGTGAAAGAGGTGAGAGCCTACTACGGAAGGGTGCATTACTGATAGAAAATGAGGGTCAATCCTGTAGTTGGAGCCAAGAGAAGATAATTCTCTTCCAAAATAATTTGATTGGAGGGAGGACTGTTGAAGAAAGAAGATGGGAATAATAAGAAGAAAGTCAGATTCTGAGAAGAAAGTCATATCTACAGCCAGAGTAGATTTAGGTACAGGGGGTAGAAATTTTGGACATTGACTTCAGTGGGGAAGTGGGATTAAATATTCATCTATTTGTTAACCCTGTAATCCTTCTCTGAAACACTTGTCACAGCCCACATACAAGAACTGGGATGCTGTTCAGGAAGAAAAACGAGGTCAGCTTCTTGAAAGGTGAACCAAGGCTGCTCACAGAGGCACCTTCTGTCAGGCGCAGGAAGGTGGAATCCCATTACTGTCTGCAAATTAAGCCACTGGGGACCAGTTTCAAACAGAAAAGGAAGGCTGTGAGCTTTGCAGCCTGTGCCAAGGACAGTAGCTGTTACAAATAGATTGTGAAGGTGGGGTGATCGTGAGCCTGTGATACCAAAGCGCTGCTTCCCACAATAGGGAAGTGTAGGAGGGAAGTGAAAGCTGTTGGGTTTCCAGCTGAACTGCCCTGCCCTTGACGTACCCAGGCTGTTGCCCACTTTACAGCACCAGTGAATGCTTCAGCTTTAAAATATCTGGATCTGGAAAAGGGCAGTGAGGTTGTCATTTTAGACCACAGAGAAATAAATCTCCGCAGGCTTTATCCATAGGATTCCTGAGTTGCGGTCTCATTGCCTCAGAGAGATCTGGATCCCATTGTGGCAGGCAAGACCTACCTAGGGAGGTATGTGCATGCCTGTAACTGGGTTGAGAGTGGCTAAGGGAATCACTTGCCTTTTTGAAGACCTTTCTAAGCCATCACCCACTGTTTGTAATTCTCCTATGTAACACTGAAATCAGCCTGCCTCCGGCCCATTTCATTGCTGCAGCTTGGGCCCTGTGGGCAATGCAGCAGGTAGCAGGAATCACACTGCCTGCCTTTGGCTCTTCAGTGGAGAGTTATCCACAGCCTGGGCAGCAGCTAGAGGCAGAGCGCTCCAGAAATGGAAGCCTACCTTTCTCTTTGGTAATAAATCTGTCTGCATCTGCTACCAGGCAGGTGGATGGTGGAGCACAAACCGGTGTATAATGCATATCGTGCCTGGAGAAAAGGAAGATTCGGTGGTGAAAGGGTATTTCATTGTATCTATGTGGCAAGTACACGAGTCACAACCTGGGTTTGCTCTGGTCAGTGCTGCCTGCTAAGGATCTGCAAGGTTGCAGGTGCCTTTTGACCCTGGTTCGTTACCCTTTGCACTCTTCCAAATAATTTATATCTTCATATGTCTGGCAGTTGTCTGGGAACCTGTCCAAGCCTTCAAATGAAAGGCCAGGAGAAGGAATTGGTTTTCTATTTCTGGCTTTGCAACTTAACACCTGCCCAATCTGTGGCAAGTCACTTGAAGCCAAATTCTTAGAGATGGGTTAGTGTGTACTCCTCATTTTGAGCCTTTCTCTTGGTGTCCAGCTGTAGCTTTAGATGCTTTCAGAATTTAATTCCTCAGAGTTCCTGGCTCAATTGCCACCTAAATCTGGTGGTACCTTCCTCTTTTTTAATGTGAAAAACTTCCTGCTGCTTGGCCCACTTGAATGTGTGTTAGTTTTGATGCTGTTGAGTAATGCCCTTGACTGGATGTTGGATATTTCTCTATCAGGTTGAAAACTGAATGTAAAAACTTGCTTCTTGGATTGAAATCCATTCAAACCATAAGAGGAAAATGCTGAAATGCTGTCACTTGCTTACCTGCACCAACCCCCCCCCCTTTTTTTTTTTATTCTGGTAACTCTGTGCTTAAGGTGTTTCGCCAAGTAGGGGACCTAGAATCACGTCCATGCCTTCCAGGAGAGCATCCTCCCAGAATGGGTGGAGTGGAACTCCCCCTCCTGAAACTGGCTTGTCACCGTAGGGCAATCACCCTATTAGATTACCTGGGGGCCTCACATTTCCAGCTAAATGAGCTTGATAATGCTTTCCTGGCTAATAGGATGGCTCGAGAGCTGATTTATCACCATTGTCAAGTCTGTCATGATCCTAGGGGGAAAGCAGCATAAAAACACAGTGGAGCAAAGATGTTTGGAAGGACTTATTGACAGGCACATGTGCAGTTAAAAATTGTTACTCTGTTGCTTAGTTAGCTCAAACCACCATTCTTTGCACCACAGTGTGCTTTTCCATGGTGAAGTGCAACAAGAATTTCCAAAGAACTAAGCAAAACCTTGCAGAGCTTTCAACCTGGAGCTCCAGGCTTGGCTTCGTGTTTGTGAGCCTGGTTTCCACAGATGCTGAGGACCTGCAGATGCCACTTTGGTTTGGGTGATTATACGCAGATTAAAGAGCAAAGCTTTTAACAGAAGGCTGGGGGAGAGGATCTGACTCCTGTGTGATGTTTGCTCACCTTCTGGTGGGAGCCAAGGAAGTCCCTGGGAGGCAAAGTCAGCGTTCTCCTTTTATTCAGTAATGACAAGGCCAGGTTAAACTTTGGAAAGCATTTTTGAAGCCCACTCACCAGTCTGGAAAGACTTAAGGCTGGCTTACAAACTGCCTTCAAATAGTCTCTGCCTTCAAATAGCCCTTGGCCAGAGTTGTGTTGCTTTATCATTAAAAAAAAAAGGAAGCAGGAAGGAGGGAAGGACGGAACAGGCTTTCGAATACTTGTTTATGGAATGGTAATACTCTGTTAAAATTATTCCTCATCTTGGAGCAAATTAAAATGATCTTTGCTCCACAAATTAAGACTAATGCAGTGGTTGTTTATCATGTCTTGGTAATATCACATGGGAATAAAAATATCAAGTCTTATCCATTGAAATATCAGATATGTAACTGTTCAAGCTTTGACATTGTAACAGCTTTTTCTCATGTCCTGGGAAATAACTGGCTGTTACAGAGGCAGTTTAAATGTGAGAAAATCAGTGGGTTTGTAATTAGTTTATTTTTAAGGAAGCACATACCTGCCCCTTGCTAAGAAGGTCAGAGTTTCAGGTGGGATGGAGGGATAGCAGTGTAGGCACCTGATTTACTGTGACATTAAACAGATAGTAAAACCAGAGACTTATAAATATTAAGATCTTAATCTCACAGCAGAGCTCTGCTGGGGAAAGCCAGAGACAAACAAGGCTTTGCCTGTAACTCGCTCTAGGGTCAGGGCCCCGGTGTGCTGCGTTACGGAAGCAGGATGACTGTGCTGAGTGGGTCTGAATACAAGCAGCTGGCTCTGACAGCGGCTTTGTATGAGATTCATCAGAGGACTTAGCACTCTGTGGCTATTTTGAGTGCAATCAGTTCACAAAACTCTCTCTTTGGGTGCAGCCTAACTTGGAAACACCTTAAATCCACAAACATCTAATGTGGTGGGGTTGGGAAGGCTCCCGGGCTGCTCAAATACCTGCTCTCAGGTGTGACCAGCATTGCAGGTGGCTTGGGGGGTGATAAGCAGCAAGGTCCCCAGGTCCCAGCTGACTCTCCTGCACAGAGCTGGTGGCCCAGTTCCCCACCTGAGTTTAACTTTTCCCTTCATAGCCCCTGGGAAGACACTTGGCCAGGAACTGCTCTGTGGAAGGGTGTCCCCCTACACTGTCCTGCTGGGCAGGAAGGCTGGCAAAGAGGGAGTGAGACATGGGACATGGGCACTGGAAGAGTGGCCAGGTGGTGGGCAACAGCCTGCCAGAAGCCCTGTAGAGGTGCTGTGCCATGGGTTAAATCTCCACCACCAGTTTTGGGAAAGAGTTGGCAAATGCTTTCACTTTGGGAGTGAGTTTGTGGCTGGGAGTCCCCATGGAGGGGAAAGGGAGGCATTGAATGACTGCACGTGATGCCACTCTATCCCCAGTATTTCCTAAGGGCTTTTTAAATTAGTGCTCTGCCTATTGCTTGTCTGGCATGTCCTTTCGTTTTGCTGGCTGTTCCCTTCCCTCCTGTGTTGGAAGGGGAGCACGTGGGGGCTTGTGCAGCCTGCAAGGCGTCTGCATGTAGCCAGCTGGGCTTTGGCCCCAAGCCTCACTGGGACAAAGGGTCAGCTCCAAGGGCTCCTCAGACACGAGCCATAGGGCTCTTTCCTGCAGCGTGTGTTTTCTCTGCAGGCTGCCTAATAAAAACTGTTTCACAGCAAAGGCAGGCTGGTGGAGGGAAAGCTCTTAGGCGGGTGCTATCCCCGAGAGCACTGGCAGTCTTAGCAAAGCCTATTTATTGGTGCTTCTTTCTTTGAGGAGTAATAACTTCCAGATTTACTCCCTTTTTAACTGAGCATATTTCAAAGTGGGTGTAGAACTATTTAAATAGCTTCTGTGGAGGTGGGATGAGAAATTGCTCTTATTCCGTAGTCTGCAATCAGCACCAAACAAGCACTTTTCTCCACTGCACACACAAACAGGCAAGTATCTGCCAGCAGCCTCAGCACTTTAGATCTGATTTTCTGCCTGCTGGTGTAAGACACAAGGAATTCCACTAACATCAACAGAGTTTCAATAGTGTAGTTTTATTTTATTTTAAATACAGTTAAATCTCTGTATTTTTTTTACCCCAGGGACTTCTCAGTGACTGTGCTTCAAGAGATGAACCCCTACCCCAGTGCATGGGTAGTGCAGACCTGCTGCAGCCCTTGCTGCCCAGCATAGCTGGGCCATAGCATGGTTCTGCACAGCCCTGTGACCCACTTCTTCCCACACAGCCAAGCACATCCTGTTGCACCAGAGAGAGAGGCGCTTCCTTGGAGGAGGTGGAGGCTATGGGTGTTCTTGGGGTGCCCTCTTGGGACATCTGAAGTTGGGGCCTTTGTTTTGCCTGCTCACCTGTGGAAAGAGCCTCAAATCCGAAGGCTGGCAGAATAGACCCAGTGAAGGGTAAAGGTAAAGAATGCAAGGCCCCGAACTCCCTGCTTGGATGGAGCAGGAATGCTGTGAGGAGCAAAGAGTACGAAGGAGTCCCAGACCTTCAGAGTTGGTAGAGTCAGAGGAGAACTAGCCTCCCTGGTGGCTTCCAGAGAGACCTCCTGCCCTACCAAGTGGAAGTGTAGCCACTCACCCCAAAAATCCCCAGAAAAAGTTTGGGTCCTTCCTAAATCAGTTCTCTAGCTGGCAGTATGTGTATTTTCATGCATGACTTTTTTTCCTTTTGGTGCAAACATGGGTGGCAATCTGATTAGCTTATGATTCATGATTTGGCTAATGTCCCTACTTCCCCCGGTCCCCACCTGTTCAAATAACTACTACTGTAATGTAGGCTGTTAACTTGAAATAACTTTTCCAACCCCTTTGGTAAATGAGTTCTGGAAGCTGCTTTAAATCTCGTCCAGGAGCAGAAATTGTAATAATTTAACTTAAATGCTTTTAAAACCAAATCAACCTGGTACAAAACTCTATGTGAGCGTTTAGGAAGAAACAAGTTCACTTTGAGCTTTTCTTCATCAACTAATGCTGTGATCAGATATGCTGTTCTGGGAAAGCCTGGTTTCTAGCCCCTGCTGCTCAGCCCTGCCTCTTGCCAAAGGCCATCCCCTCACCAGCTTTGCCACACAAAAATACTGCTTTTCACCTAGTCCTAACAGCAGGAGCCAGGTGAGCAAACCCTCCCATTCAAGGAGTCACAGCTGATCTGGAATATTGTGCTGGAGCAGAGTGAGGAGAGGCTGTTCCATGCAGTTTTACTGCCAGACCTCAACAGAGCAGAAGAAAGCCTGCACAAGCAGCCATGGTGGGTTGAGGTTGGTGACTTGAGCCAGTTCTGCTACGGTCACATCAGCGAGCTGGGCACTGCACCTTTGGTCTTCTGGTCCTGTGCCCACCACTCACCACTGCAGTTAACCCAGCCTGGGTGGGTTACAGCAGTGGCTCCATGTGCCCTTTGCACCAGTTCAAACAGATCAATCAGGTTCAGAGCAACTTCCCAAAAGCCCTAAATTATGTAAGCAATACAATGCAATCAAAAAAAAAAAGGAAAAAAGGAAATACTGGTATTGAACTCACCAGAGGACTGATTTCTCAACTGGCACAAAAAGGTTTTGAAGGACATGTGTATTTCAGCCTCCATGCTTATAACCCTTGGGAAGATCATTAGGCAAATTCTGACCTCATCCAGTCCTCGTCTTGCCATGAGTTCC